AATACAATAATATCTGAGGACTTCAATACCCCATGCTCATTAATGGACAACTTATCCAGAACACCCCTCACCCCAAATCAGCAAAGCAGCATCAAAGTTAAACTACAGCACAACCAAATAGACCTACAAGACACACACAGAACATTCCATCTAACAGCTGCAGAGTACATTATTTTCATTCTCACATTGAACATTCTCAAGGATAAACCACATAGTAGGCCAAAATATAACTCAACATATGCTAACAACCTAGCTCCCTGCTTTTTAATAAGATGTTTCCATTTATCTGTGATCTAGAAAATACACTGAAAACTTGTTAGCACTGAATGCAGCATAAGAGTAAATCTGCTGCATTAAAGACGCCACCAAAAATGGTCAGAATCTTAAAACCTAAAAACCACCAAAAAAAAAAAAAAAAAGAAAAACCTATTGGAACTGAACTGATAAGTTGTAGGTATGAAATCAACAATCAAAAAATCAGTAGCATTTGTATACACTTACTGAGAAAAACAATTATAGAGCAATTCCACTCACAATAGCTATGAAAAAATACGTTGGCATAAATTTAACCTAAGATGAAAATTTCATCTATATAATAAAAATTATAAGACACCAATGAGGGGCTGGCACTGTGGCATAGTGGGTTAAGCCGCGGCCTGCAGTACCAGCATCCCATATGGGTGCCAGTTTGAGACCCAGCTGCTCCACTTCTGATCCAGCTCTCTGCGATGGCCTGGGAAAGCAGTGGAAATGGCCCAAGTCCTTGGACCCTTGCACCCGCATGGGAGACCTGGAGGAAGCTCCTGGCTTTGGATCCGCACAGCTCCAGCAGTTGCAGCCAATTGGGGAGTGAACCAGCAGATAGAAGACCTCTCTATGCCTCTGCCTCTCGTTTTCTCTCTGTGTAACTCTTTCAAATAAATAAATAAATCTTAAAAAAAAACACTAGTGAAAGAAATGAAGGCATACAAAATGGGAAGACCACCTATGTTCACAGACTGAATTAATATTAAAATACCCATACTATCCAAAGTGATTTACAGATTCAATGGAATCACCATCAAAATACCAGTGATGCTCCTCATACAACTACCAAAACAAACAAACAAACAAACAAAAACCCTGAAATTCATATGGGAGCACAGAAGACTCCAAATAGCTATGGCAATCTTCAACAAAAAAGAATAAGGTGGGCCGGCGCCATGGCTCACTTGGCTAATCCTCTGCCTGTGGCGCCAGCACCCTGCGTTCTAGTCCTGGTTGGGGTGCCAGATTCTGTCCTAGCTGCTCCTCTTCCAGTCCAGCTCTCTGCTGTGGCCCGGGAGTGCAGTGGAGGATGGCCCAAGTGCTTGGGCCCTGCACCCGCATGGGAGACCAGGAGGAAGCACCTGGCTCCTCGCTTCGGATTGGCACAGCGCGCCGGCTGTAGCAGCCATTTGCGGGGTGAACCCAAAGAAGGAAGACATTTCTCTCTCTTACTGTCTAACTCTGCCTGTCAAAAAAAAAAAAAAAAAAGAATAAGGTGGAAGCATAGCATCACAATATCAGGTTTCAAGACAGATTACAGAGCCATCATAATCAAAACAACATGGTAATGGCATGAAAACACACATATACCAGTGAAACAGAATAGCCACCCCAGAAATTAATCAACACATCTAAAGACAACATCTTTGACAAAGGTGCCAAAAATATATCATGGAGAAAGAATAGTCTTAAGTATCTAGTGTGGCAAAAACAAAGTTTCTATATGCAAGAGATTCAGTTTATCCCATGGGGCCTGGCATTGTGGTATAGTGGCTTAAGCCACCACCTGCAATGCTGGCATCCTTATGGGTACCGTTTCAAGTCCTAGCTGCTCTATTTCTGATTCAGCTCCCTGCTAATGTGCCTGGGAGAGCAGAGGAAGATAACCCAAGTGGTTGGGCCTCTACACTCATGTAGGAGCCCTAGAAGAAGCTCCTGGCTAATGGCTTCAGCCTGGCATAGCCCCAGACATTAAGGCCATGTAGGGAGTAAAGGACACCAATCCAGTAAGTGCAGCAAAGGATGGAACCAAAGATCATTATGTTAAGTGAAATAAGCCAGACACAGACAAATAACTGCATGTCATCTTCCATACTGGAAGTTAAAAAGTCAATCTAAAGTCAGAATAGTGATTACTAATGATTGGCAAGAGTACAGAAAGCAGAAATAGAAGGAAGCTGAATAACAGGTAGGAAAAATAAAACTAAAGTGCTAGTGTCACAAAATGGACTGGGGTGACTACCATTCACAATAATTATTATAGTCTATAAAGAACTGGGAGAGAGGAACTAATATAATAAGTAAGCTACAAACACAGAAATAGGGAAATTCAAAGGGTAGTTTCCTGATTTGATCAGTTTATGCTATGTGTATGCATAGAAACATTGTATTATATGCCATAAAAAGTACAAGTATTACATACTCAAAATTTTTTTTAAATAAGGGATTTCATAGCAGCTTTATTTTTAATGACTAAAAATTGGAAAACACCTAAAATCCCTTCAAGGGTGATTTAACAAACTGGTATATCCATAAAATAAAATACTAGGCAGTTAGCAATAACTACTGTTAGAATTTATTTGTATTTCAAGGGGAATCATACAGAATGAAAAATGACAATCTCAAAAGGTCACATATTATATGATTCAGTCTGTATAATACTCATAAAATATCAGAATTAGAACAGTATAATGGTTGCTAGAGTTAGGGACGATGGGGTGGGGAGTTTGTGGGTGAGATTATCAAGGGCTAGCACTAGGGATCTTTAGGATGATGGAACAGGTCTGTACACTGATTATGATGCCAGTTACAAAAAAGTCTAGGTATGACAAAACTGGAACACACAAGTAAGCAGAAGTACATGAAATCTGTACTATTTTTTGCATGTGTATCCATAATTATTTCAAAGTAAAACTTCTAAAAAGTTTCATAAGTCATCAGAAAACAGATCCTCCTCTTCAAAAAAGGTGCTTTTTTGATGAAAACGACTTCAATTCACAAAAGCTACTAAGAATAAGGTATTCTTGATCCAACACATACCCCTTGCTTCTTCCTTGTATTGCTGTTAACATACACAAAAAGTCTATCTCTAGAAAACACTCTAAAGAGAAAACTGAAAATGAGGGAAAAAAGTAAAATTCTTTATTATAATATCCTAATATTAATTAAATAATTATAGATATAAAAAAACCCCAAAGTAGAAATTGAACAAACTTAAAGCTGTAAAATGGCTGCCGACAATTAGGGAAGGACACCAAAAAGAACATCTCTGAGTTGAAAACAATTATCAAACAAAGAAGAAATATAAAACCACAAGTAAAATAAGGGACATGGAAGAGAAACAAAAAGAATCAAGAAAATTAAAGAAATAAAAAGATTAAGAGAAACATCAGAGGGAAAGAGATAATTATGTTAGTTCTAATATACATATAATTAGAGTCCCTAAAAATAAAGAGGAACAGTGGTTCTCAAAGTGTGGTCAAGGGGCCGGCGCTGTGGCGCAGCAGGTTAAAGCCCTGGCCTGAAGCACCGGCATCCCATATGGGCGCCAGTTCTAGTCCCGGCTGCTCTACTTCCTGTCCAGCTCTCTGCTATGGCCTGGGAAAGCAGTAGAAGATGGCCCAAGTCCTTGGGCCCCTGCACCCATGTGGGGGATCCTGAAGAAGCTCCTGGCTCCTGGCTTCAGATCAGCACAGCTCCAGCTGTTGCAACCAACTGGGGAGTGAACCAGTGGATGGAAGACCTCTCTCTCTGTCTCTATCTCTCTCTGTAACCCTTTCAAATAAATAAAATAAAAATCTTTAAAAATAAAAAAGTGTGGTCAATTAGGCCAATCTGGAATTCAGGACAATCTAGATGGCATTCAAGATACTCCTTTTTACAAAACTTAAGATTTTGCAGTGGTGGCAACCTAGCCTCAAGAAAGTAGCACTATCTTGCCTATTTAAAACATCTTAATTTCCATTTCGTCCTGAAGGTGCATATTCTTTTTATCTCTTTAACAAATAGAATTTAGGCTTTGCCTATTTGAAGAATTCCAAGGTGGCTTATGTCTCCGCCTCGGCCTGCACTCGCGGCTTCATCCTCCCTAACATTTTTCTCTACCCGGTATGTTTCCTTAAGTTTTCTTCCAACAATATTCCTCTCATTTCTCCTGGCTTCTCCCCACAGTCCGTATCCGAGTCCAAGCCTCCTCCAGGTTTCACTTTCGCTTTCAATCTCCTAGCTTCCCCGCCATAGTCCGCATCCAAGTCTATGAAAGCTTTCACTTTCGCTTTCAATCCTAACTTCTTTCCCACAGTCCATATCCGAGTCTATGCCTAGGCTTTCAATAGCTTCTTCCGGCACCTTTTCCGTCCAGCTTTCCCCTAGGCTCTTTGCTAGTCTCTCTCTCCGGTATTTTCCACTTCTTCCCTCCTAAGTTTCCTATCCGTCCTAGGTTTCCTATCCGAGTCATTATGTCGCTCCCCGTCTTCGTGGAGGAACGACACAGGACCCTGCGCTGTTCTTTCGTCTGCTCGGCCCTCCCCGGGTTTGCTGCTGGTTCTTCCCGGGTTGGCTGCTGGTCCTTCCCGGGTTGGCTACCATCCCTTCCACCTCCGTGGAAGGGCGGTTCCCCCTGCCACATTCCCCACTTCCGCGGGGGAGCGGCACACCGCCGGCCGGCTCTCTCGGGGGCTGCACAGGTGTTCCTTCAGATAGATGTTCCCCTTAGATGTTCCTGGTGCATGTTGTCTCTCTCCTCCTTTATAGTCCTCTTCCACCAATCCCAACTCTGCTACCCACACGCCGAGTACGCTGCTCTCCTCCAATCAGGAGCAGGTCCCACAGTTTATTGGTCGAACTGGAGGCAGCTGTGTAGAAGCTGTTTCCCTTCTCAGCGCCATATTGTGGGAGAGCAGATGCATAGAATAAGTCTTAATTCCAGTAACTTAGTCTAGTCCGAGTTGCTCCCAGTTGCTCCCCACACCTATTAACAAATTCAATCTACTTGTGAGACTATACCACATTTAAAAAAGGAAACCTTATGGAAGTTGGCTCCAGGACACATCATTTAACTACCTTATACCAAGAACCCTCAATAGCCTAACTGCCTAACTTTCACTGCACCTTCTCTGTAAAATCTCAAGTTTGCATCAAATCTAACTTGGTAACTAGCTTGCCTATATCCCACCTCTTCCACACAACTTTTTCTTGATCTCCTCCCATCCTGATGTGATCAATCCTTAGAAATCTCATTATCCCTAAACATGTACATGACAAACATAAAATTTGCTTACTTTAAATAAAAATATTTGAACTAGTAAGTAATAAAGGTGATTTCATTAATTCCCTCATCCCACCTCTCCATTATGGTTCGTGTTCATATGCATAATAACTTCTCCACCTGAGCCATAGAGATTTACTACTATACTTCTTATGGCAATAATGGTAATTACTTATCTTGTTATTTACGAAGAAATCTAGAATTTTGTTCTCATATATTTAATCTGTTACATAGTCATAACAGAGGCAGGTGATTAGCATAGCAATTCAGATGTCCATTTCCCACATTAGAGTACCTGGGTTTAATTCCTCTACAGCTCCTAACACCAGCTTCCTGCCAAGCAACCCTCGGAGGAAGCAGATTTGGCTCAAGTCATTGGATTCCTGCCACCTACTGTGGGAGACCTGGATTGAGTCCCTAGCTTGCAGCTTTCACCCTGGTGCAGCCCAATTTGGGGAGTGAATCCAGGCATGGGAGTTCTCATGCTCAAAAAAAAAAAAGTCACAACATTGAAAGAACTGAGAAAAAGAGCCATAGGATAGTTTTGGTTAATGTATTATCTTTATAATTCAATGAAAAGGCAGTATCTGTTAGGTATTTTAGGTATTGTCTTCTCTGAAAAGTTATCCATTCTTGTCACAAACCTGTAAGCAACTGTGCAGCTTCTGTCTGTATCTAAAATGGAAAAATACATGTTACAAATAAAACCACACAGCTTGGAGATCAACTTGTGAATTTTAAGTTCTTAAGGTAGACTGGTTTCTAAGAGTTTCCAGAAACCAGGACAGGACACTGCAAGGATTTCTTGACGGTGACTGGGTGAGATTCTCAGAGAACTCCTACACTTTCGCACACAACCCTTGATTTTTATGTTGCTAATATCTTAGTTCATCTTTAATATATGTCACACAAAACCAATTCTGTACTACAGCCGGCAACTCCTCTAACATTTGCTTTGTGACAGTAATAAAATCCATACAGTAGTGATATAAATGTCAATGAATTCACATTTGAAATGAAATGCATTTGGACAAGTACACTTTTAAAGATCTTAAATTCACCTTTATTTAATAGTGCCTCAATGCTAATCCATCTGCGTTATTTTACCGGAGATGGTTTTACCTGTTTATCTTCCTCTGTGTGTGCAGGATAGTCCTTGGCTTTCAGCAGCCACAAAGCAGCAAGTTTTTTGTTATGTAGCTTCAGGTATGTCTTTCCTAAAAGCAGCAAGTTCTTGCTGTAGAAGTTTGGATCCACTGTATAAAAGGAACAATATTTGCTGCTTTTAATTTGAGAAGTTTAATTTACTGGTCTAAATTCTAATAAATTTGTGTGGTCAATAAAGGATAAGGATAACTGAATTTTCTTTTGTTTGGTTATTCACAACTGAAATATCTGTAAAATAATCACTACTGAATGTCTACTCTGTGCTAGGCACTATATTACACATATTTCTCATTTCACAATAATTTTATAAAGTAAATATTTCTTTTATAAGTGAGAAGTTGAGCTTCCCAATAGTATAAGTTCCTAACAGTGATTTTTTTTCTAGTTATTTTGTTCCCTATTGTAATCCCAAGTGCCTAAAACAGTGTCTGGAATATAACTATTGTACCTCCACATTCATAAGCTTTTTGTTCATGCTTTTCCCTCACCAAAAAATTTCCCCATCTTTTCTCTTAAAATCCTATTCACTCTCCAGGTCAGCCCAGGTATAATCTCTGTTAGCTGCTGCTTTTCTCCTTTGGTTTCTCATGGTATTTTAAAGTGTTTACACTTAATAAAGCATTTTCTTCATTCTTATGTTACATTTAGTTGTGTTCATGTTTCTTTCCATCATAAAGTCCCAAAGAGCAGAAGCTGTTTCTTCCTCTCTCTATGGTTAAGTGGAACCGACGTTAAGTAAATGATCACATCTATCTATGCATATACCATCATGATTCGTTCATTCATTGAGTGCACGTTATGTCCCAGACACAGTGTAATGGGCTGGGAAGAGGGAGAAGAAATGAAAGGAGGTGAGATCACGGGTACCAACAAATAGTTAAGACAGAGGAATAAGTTTTGAAGTACTAGACACTAGGAAGGCTATAGCTTACACTTTATCAGACAAAATAACTAGAAGAGTTCAAAGGTTCCCAACACAAAGAAATGAAAAATGGTTAAGGAGATGCAACTACCATGATTTGATCAGTATATACTGTGTGTATGTATATACATGTAAACATAAGTATACCAAGCTATCACACACTGAATCCCTTAAATATGTACAGTTGTCATGTGTCAAAATTTAAACAACAATTTTTAAAAAGTCTAAGAATGAGGGCTTGGCACTGTGGTGCAGTAGGCTAAGCCTCTCCCTGTAGTGCCAGCAACCCATATGGACACCGGTTCATGTCCTGGCTGCTCCTCTTCTGATCTCTGCTATGGGCTGCGAAAGCAGTGGAAGATGACCCAAGTGCTTGGGCCGCTGCACCCAGCATGTGAGAGACCAGAAGAAGCTCCTGGCTTCGGATCAGCCTAGCTGTGGCCATTGCTGCTATCTGGGGCATGAACCAGCAGATGGAAGACCTTTCCATCTGTCTCTCTCTCTCTCTCTCTAACTCTACATCTCAAATAAATAAATAAATCTTTAAAAAAAAAAAAAAGAGGTCTATGAATGAAAGCACAGAACTATCTTGCTAACTTCCATTCTCAACAGCGTCTTCCTAGCAATTTGGAGCCCTCTATATTTAAAATATATTTTACCATGGATAGAATTTACTCATAACCCAAATTATCATACTTCTTTACACATAAACACATTCAAATAAAAGGCACATTATCAGGGAGCTGGACTGGAAATGGAGCAGCTGGGACTCAAACCAGTGCCCCTATGGAATGCCCGCACTACAGACCGCAGCTTAACCTGTTACACCACAGCACCAGCCCCAATGATTACATTTTATAGGAATATAGCTGCAGTGATTTCTATGGTGTATTTGACAACATGCTTCTGTCTCTTACTTCCCTACCAAGTATTATTAATATTAAGAAGGATAAGTTCAGGATAGGCCAGTGACAGTTTATAGAGCCAGTCTTTCTTTCTTTCTTTTTTTTTTTTTTAAACAAGAATAACTGGGGCCAGTGCTATGGCCCAGAGGGTTAAGCTGCCGCCTACAGTGCCAGCATGCCATATGGGCACCAGTTCGAGTCCCATCTACTATACTTCCTATCCAGGCTCCCTGCTAATATGCCTGGGAGAGCAGTCGAAGATGGCCCAAGTTCTTGGGTCCCTGCACCCACGTGGGAGAACCCAGAAGAAGCTCTGGCTTCTGGTTTTGGCCTGGCCTAGCCCCGACCATTTGGGTAGTGAAACAGCGGCTGGAGGATCCCTGTGCATGTCTCTTCTCTCTCTGTGACTCTGCCTTTCAAATAAATAAATAAATATTTTTTAAAAAATAACATGAAACTCTTTATCACAAAATATCTGCAACTGAACAAAAATTAACCTGATTTAAAACCATGGTTCCTATTTAAATGCCTCTAATTAGTTGTGTAACCTTAAATAGGCAGTTAACCTGACATAGCCTCCTCTCCAAAAGGCAGACTGAATTACATCAAATGAAAGCCCATTCCAGAATTACAATGCTGATTCAGTAGTGGCCTATTTCCTACTCGGGTGCTCTGAACTGAAAAATTCCTGTTTTAAAAATTCTTACTACACTGGGGCTGGTATTGTGGCACAGTGGGTTAAGCTGCTGCTTGCGACGCTGGCAACCCACTGGTTCATGTCCCGGCTGCTCCACTTCTGATCCAGCTCCCTGCAAATGTCTGGGAAAAGCAGAAGACGACTCAAGTTTTTGGCCCCTGCCACCTTAGTGGGAGACCTGGAAGCAGCTCCTGGCTTCAGCCTGGCCCAGCCCTGGCTGTTGTGGCCACCAGGGGAATAAACCAGAAGATGGAAGATCTTTCTCTCTTTAACTCTTACAAACAAATAATAAATCTTTTTTTAAGAATTATTTTATTTATTTGAAAGGCAGAGTTACATAGAGAAGTAGAGCCAGTGAGAGAGGTCTTCCATCCCATGGTTCACTCCCCAAATGACCGCAACATCCAGAGCTGACTTGATCTGAACCCAGGAGCCAGGAGCTTCTTCTGGGTCTCCCACATGGGCGCAGGAGCCCAAGGACTTGGGCCATCTTCTACTGCTTTCCCAGGCCATAGCAGAGAGCTGGACAGGAAGTGGAGCAGCCAGGACTTGAAACTGGCACCCATATGGGATGCCAGCACTGCAGGCTGGGGCTTTAACCCACTGTGCCACAGCGCCAGCCTCCAAATAATAAATCTTTTAAAAAATTTTTACTATATATTCAGCATTCATGCAATTTTAAGTGTATTAATAAGTGAAATAAAAAAAAAAGTTACCTTGTTCTGCCCTGTGAAAATAACCTAATGCCTGTTAAAAACAGAGACCAAACATTAGGAAAAGGATTAAAGCTGACTCAATATTACAAATATTTATCAAATGTCTATTTATATATTAAATGTCAGGAAATAAGTCACCTTGAAGTCCAATTTTTTTACAGTGAGAGTTAACATAGCTAAATTGAACATAATACTGTTGACTAATTAGAACATTACAATATGTGGACCACAAATGATTTTTTTTCCAACTTGTACCAAACTTAGCATCATTACCAAACCTGCATCATGTACAGAAAAGGAACATTTTCATGTATAACGTAGCTATTTTGAATTTTCTCTTAAATTCTAACTGTGACTACTAGTAAAAACTAGATATAATCAAAAGATGAATTTACTCAGTGATACAAGGGCTGTACAATTTTAAAAAGTCTACAGAAATTTCCAAATAGAATGTTATTGTGGGGGCCAATGCTGTGGTGCAGCAGGTTAACCACCTGGCCTGAAGCACCAGCATCCCATATGGGCACCAGTTTGAGACCTGGCTGCTCCACAGTGGCCATTGGGGGTGAACCAATGGAAAAGGAAGACCTTTCTCTCTGTCTCTCTCTCTCACTGTCCACTCTGTCAAAAAGAAAAAAAAAAAAAAAAAAGATGCATCCCAAGGAGAAAAGGATACAATCAGCTGTACACTAACAGATTTGTAATGTGTCTGAGAAATGTCATTAGATAATGCATTATAAAACATTTTAAAAATATTTTAAGTGGGACTATATTAGCAGTTAGATTCACAGTAACATTCTTTTTTTTTTTTTAAGATTTATTTATTTATTTGAAAGTCAGAGTTACAGAGAGAGGAGAGGCAGAGAGAGACAGACAGAGAGCAAGCGAGAGAGGTCTTCTATCTGCTGGTTCACTCCCCAATTGGCCGATCCAATGGCAGGAGCCAGGTGCTTCTCCTGGTCTCCCATGCGGGTGCAGGGCCCAAGCACTTGGGCCATCCTCCACTGCACTCCCGGGCCACAGCAGAGAGCTGGACTGGAAGAGGAGCGACCAAGACGGATCCGGCGCTCTGACTGGGACTAGAACCCGGTGTGCCCGCGCCACAGGCGGAGGATTAGCCTATTGAGCCTCGGCACCGGCCAGGATGCATTCTTTTTAATAATAATATGGGATGGGCATTTGGCACTGGAATTAAGCCAGGGCTTAAGACACCCACAACCCATTTTGGCAGGCTGGGTGTTCAAGCCTCCTCAGCTCTGCTTCCACTCCAGCTTCCTGCTAATTGCACCCTGGGGAGCAGAAGTGGATGGCTCAAGTAATTTTTCCTGCTGTTCATGTGGGAGACCTGGATTGAGTTTCTAGTTCCTGGCTTTCACCTGGCTTAGCCCAGGTAGTTGTGGGCATTTGGGGAGTGAACCTGTGGTTGAGAGATTCTTCGGTCTCTCTGCTTTTCAAATAAATTGTAAAAACCTATGTTAAAAATATTTCACAACTGTATTCTTATCATAGAACTAAATTTTCTAAACATCAAATTCAACACCAGAGTGCCCTGGGGTGGAGAGAGCACAGGAACTCCTTGTTATGATACAAGTATTGGGAATTTACTTTATTGCCTATTTCCTTATTCAGAAAATTTTGTGATGAGTAAGCCCAGAGAGTTTAGCCAGAAATCCCTTTCAATTTTTATTAATGGCTATTTTTATTTGAGAGGTAAGGGAGGGAGAGAGGGCTCTCTCTCATTGGTGGCTTACTCCCCAAATGCCCAAAGGGTCTCCCAACAGGGAACAGCTTGAGGAGCTGGGAACTTATTCCAGGTTTCCCAAGTGGATGGCAATCACTTGAGCCTCCCAGGGTCTGCATTAGCAGGAAGCTAGAATCAAGAATATAGCCTGACATGCAGCCCAGGAACTCTGGTATAGGATGCAGGTATAACTAGCATCTTAACCATGAGGCAAACATTTGCCCCTCAAGTTTCATTCTTACCAGGAAAAGCAAAAGGCTATAGGAAAATATGAGAGAATGTGAGCCTTCCATAACCCCTTTTAATAAAATGTTGTAATTGTTGTTCTTCTATTAACTTAAACAGATGCTTCGTTTTCCTAAATGACTGTATTACTGTGTGAAATGCACCTAAAACATGTTGGGTACATGTTGTATTTCTTATACCTTTTAATTTTTATGGTATTGATTTCAAACACAAAATTAAGGTAGATTTTAGCTATGAGCTATTTTAGTTGACTATGTACTAGAATTATTAGCCACTCACCTAAAGGAAAAACAAAAAAACACTCACCAGTCATGGATAATAAGTATTAAGCCTTTGGATTAGATCATTAGTAACTTGGACAAGTCCCTCACTGAATCAGCTCCATATGTGTGGACACTGAAGAATGGTGCTGTAGTTAAGAAATTGGTACTAACTTAACAAAGGACATCATACTACCTCCTCATAGGTGGAACTAGGAGGAGTTGCAAACAGCATTTTAGCAATTCTTCTTTGATACCAAGGCATTTCAGCAAATGTATAGCACCTACAGAGAAATAAAATAACACTTACATTCAAAATTATATCTTCTTTTATCCAAAGAGTGATATGATTCATTAGTAGGGATTAAATATAAATAGGAAAGAATAGTATGAGTAATGATAATACAATATATTTTGTAATCAATATTTGTATTCAATATTGATATTGTACAAAACGGAACACAATATCGATATATTGAATACTATATATATTTACAATGTATCATCCACCATTGAATGCTCACTTTGTACCAGTGCTAGAATAAATGATGCTCTCCCATCTACTCCATACAAAAACTGAGATAATACCATTATTAATTGTTTCATAAGAAAAACTCAAAAGAAGTTTCAAAAACTTACTCAAGAAAAAAATGACAAAACTAAACAAGATGTACATAAATAACAGTAGCAACCAAAAATTTAAGCCCCTTTTTTTAAAAAAGAGGTAAAACAGATAGTTACTATCCAAAGATATTTAGAAGTTTCTGAAAGAAGTATGGGAAAAAAGTTTCCCATCTTTAAGAAGGTTCTGAACTCCTGAGGCACAGACTGTCTCCTTCCTGCTTACTTACTGACTTAGTAACTCTTGCTCAATCACTGCTAATTTACTATGTCCTTTATCATCTCCTTTATCCTGAAAGATACTTATTTCATTTTTAAAAGACTTTTGATACAGCACAATTTACACTTACTTTTTTGAATGACACTGAATACTTAGTTCTACAGTCTAAACCCAAAGAAAACAGTGACCAACCTATCTTCAAGAAAGACTCTTAAACAAGCAAGGTTAACACAGTGATGTAATGACATACCAGCAAAACAATGATCTATACTGGACATAGGATCACATGAAAATGGGAAGTTACTGAAAGGCAGATTGTATTGTTTCTCAGATGAGTCAAGACTGTATTTGATACACTTTAAAGATAAGATGATCTGGGGCTGGCACCGTGGTGTAGTGGGTAAGGCTGCCGCCTGCAGTGCTGGCATCCCATATGGGTGCCGGTTTTTGAGTCCTCACTGCTCCACTTCTGATCCAGCTCTCTGCTATGCCCTGGGAAAGCAGAAGATGGCCCAAGTCCTTGGGCCCCTGCACCCACGTGGGAGACCTGGAGGAAGCTCCTAGCTCCTGGCTTCTGAACGGTGCAGCTCCAGCCGTTGCAGCCAATTGGGGAGTGAACCAACGGATGGAGGACCTCTCTTTCTCTCTCTGCTTCTCCTTCTCTCTGTGTGTAACTCTGACTTTCAAATAAATAAATAAATCTTAAAAAAAAATAGGAAGATCTTCTTGGGGCATCCTACTATTTTACAAAGACTAACCTAATTTTATTTAGCATGGTAAATGAGAACAGTCTCACAACAAAGGGGATTTAACAGGCTAACAAAAAATTTTAAGGCCTTTTTAGGCTAAGTATATGTTTCTAAATGACCTCAGTAACATGTTTAATATACTCACAAATTTAGTATGTTCCATACATAAGTGTAAATTAATGGATTCAACATTCTAAACTCAGTATTTTTAAATATTTCACTTTGTTTTTTTTTTTTTTGACAGGCAGAGTTAGTGAGACAGAGAGACAGAGAGAAAGGTCTTCCCTCTGTTGGTTCACCCCCCAAATGGCCAGGAGCCAGGTGCTTCCTCCTGGTCTCACATGCAGGCACAGGGCCCAAGGGCTTGGGCCATCCTCCACTGCCTTCCCGGCCACAGCAGAGAGCTAGACAGGAAGACGAGCAACCAGGACAGAATCTGGCGCCCCAACTGGAACTAGAACCTGGGGTGCCGGCGCCGCAGGCAGAGGATTAGCCTAGTGAACTGTGGCGCCGGCCTACATTTTGCTTTTTATACATCACAAAATATTTGTATGTACAACAAAGTAAGATCATATTAAATACCACTTAAATATAAGTTCACTTACCAAATACCCATAAGATGAATCGAAGTAGCATCCTTAGGATTCAGTTCAATTGCTTTCTATCAAGAAATGAGAAAAATCAATCATTTTTTTTTCCCTTAAACAACAGTAAATGCTTTACTGTGTCTGCTAAAGAAGCTATGATTAGGGGCTGGCGCTGTGGCGCAGCAGGTTAACGCCCTGTCCTGAAGTGCCGGCATCCCATATGGGTGCTGGTTCTAGTCCCGGCTGCTCTACTTCTGATCTAGCTCTCTGCTATGGCCTAGGAAAGCAGTAGAAGATGGTCCAAGTCCTTGGGCCCCTGCACCTGCATGGGAGACCTGGAGGAAGCTCCTGGCTCCTGGTTTTGGATCGGCGCAGCTCCCGCCTTTGCAGCCAATTGAGGAGTAAACCAGCGGATGGAAGACCTCTCTCTCCCTCTCTCTCTCTGCCTCTTCTATGTGTAACTCTTTCAAATAAAATAAATAAATCTTAAAAAAAAACAAATAAAATAAATTTTTACAAAAAAACCATGATTATAAAGAAAAAAAGCACAGCTCTATGTTTCAATTTTTCTATGATAAGGAATTTCAATTTTCTTCCTCCTGATTCTTTAATGATTAAATTTGTCTCAATACACTATTAATGATTTGTACTAAGGTACTGTGTTATAAGGTTCAGAAACAGATGGCAAGGCCTATAAGGATGAGAAAAATCATAAAATATATAAATCTAATTTTTAAAAAAGCAATAACATATAACTTTCAATGTTCCTTTCTTAAAGGAAAAATAAATGTTTTTTTTTTTATTTTGGCCATATCTTGAATGTTGAAAAAAACTATTCACTAAAAGAAAAGCTAAAAGTATATAATTTTAGAAAATCTCTTCCTATATGGGAATTTTTTTCAACTTCCCATTTGTCCTTACCACAGAAAATACTATTTATTCATAGAAAATGTGAATCAAATAATTATATATACAATGTAAAATACGCTGATAAAATCTAACTTGCTACTATGTGAAGTAGTGTAATGCAGAAACTACAGAATAATTTTAAAGAAATTCCTCATTTTATTTATATTTATTTATATATTTTATATATATTTTTATATATTTATCTATATATTTACTTTTATGAAAGCTACTAAGGAAATCTCACAGATTAAGATTAACCCTGATAAAAATAAGACTATTTAAAATATTAAGACTAAGATTTCCTAGTTTATGCTTTTATAAAATCTCATATTTTCACTTTCAGTTTGCTAATGCCTGAGATACACATTTGCACATATTTATAATAGTTAAGAAGATGGGCTCTGAAGCCAGACTGCCAGGGTTCATAGCTCAATGTCCTCTAATTTGTTGAACTTAACATATTTTATATTCTTGCTAAGAATGAATTTTGAATTATACAAATACAACTACCTCATAAGTTTGTGGTTAAAATGAGCAAATAACAGGAGATGCTTCATGTAATGATATTTTGTATCACCACCATCAATTTCCTGTTTTCATAATGTAACACCAGGAACTTAATTCCCAGCTTACATTAGTTAATGTTCATAGTAGTAGTAGAGACAATTGCTTAAATAAAGCTGACCAAGAATAACTTGGCAGAAATCTTGCTTACCTAATACGGGTAAAAGTCAGCACTGAGCTGTTTTACCTCTCTTGCAATACAGCAATATGATTATACAAAATGCATTTTAAAGTATTCACTTATAACTAAAATACTAAGCAACCTTTCCCAATTGGAGTGCTGCATAAACTTGTAGGAGTAGTCATTTTCTTCCATCTCCTATGAAAGAGAATATAGAGCCAGTACCACTTGAGATGCATGGAGAAAAGATAGTTTGTCACATGCAATGGGTGTCTTGGGGCACAAGGGTTTAGTTTTCTTATGGGAAGGGTTTGAGAAGGACTACTTTAAAAAAAAGCCTTTTCATTATAATCCTTCCTCCCATTATATCTTCCAAAACCAATCCAAACATGCTAATTCCTTAAGACTTCAGATGTGATAATGGAATTTCAAAACAGAAGTACTATAATGACTTTTTTGGTATATAAATATTAAATATTAATTCTTTGTATATTTACACATATACATTTGAAAGTAAATAGAAATACTGTAGTTGTTTTGTTTAATCAACAGCCATCTCATTAATGTTTTCTGCAATTTTTCATTGTTCACATTGGAAGTTATGAATTTCTATATCCTGAGGCATAAAATAATTAAGCTATTTACTTATTACACTAAGAAAATTGTTGTTTTTCAATCTAAAATTCTAAAAATTGTATTTCACACCATTATTTTAGGTAAACAACTAAAAAGAAGGGGCCGGAGCCATGGTGCAGTAGGTTAATCCTCTACCTGCGGTGCCGGCATCCCATATGGGCGCAGGGTTCTAGTCCCACCTGCTCTTCTTGCAGTCCAGCTCTCTGCTGTGGCCCGGGACGGCAGTGGAGGATGGCCCAAGTGCTTGGGCCCCTGTACCTGCATGGGAGACCAGGACGAAGCAGAAGCACCTGGCTCCCAGTTTCGGATCGGCCCAGCACCGGCCATAGTGGCCATTTGGAGAGTGAACCAGCGGAGGGAGGACTTTCCTCTCTCTCTCTCTCTCTCACTGTCTGTAACTCTGTCAAATAGATAAATAAAAATCTTTAAAAAAAATTAAAAAGAAAAAAACAATGTCAATGATAATGTAAGGTACCACTGAAAACATAATAAATCTGATTTCAAACATCCAAAAATGTGAAATATATAAACTATAAAATGTAATTAGATATACATATTTCTACTGATGCCTACATAAGAATTAGGTTTCCTGTCTCCAAATGTTCCTTTTTACCAATTGTTATATAAACTAGGAATTGAGACTATAACCATAAAATTCTGCAAAGTTAACATATCCAGCACTATTCCATGAATTTTTCCATTGCTTTTTTCTTCCTTTGTATTTTTACATGATCTGCAATATCAAGAGAAATAAATATGCTGGTTTCATCGTGGTACTATTTTTTAAGGATGGAGTAGTGTGCATGAACAATATGAAATAAATAGACTCCTACAGAATTTTTAGCAGCTTAAGGAAAAACTTGCAGAAATAAGTAAATTAACTTCAGGAAGAAATATAAACCACAACACACAGGCAGAACACACACACACAGTTCATAATCTAAAAAGGGATGATTATTATTGGGAGTGGTATGTCAAATAGCTTAAACACACTGTTATAGACAACACTGAGGTCTTCAGCCTTGTGCAACTGGTTCCATCTGAAAGAACTGGGCTAGTCACGTGATTACTTAGGGCAATAGGGTATCAGCAAGTAGGATGCAAGCTTAATGCAAATTTGCACACTGGAACATTTCAAATGTTCATTCTCAGAAGCCAGCTAGTATGCTGTAAAGAAGCCTGGACTATATTACTAAATAGAAAAAAAAAAAGGTGGGAGAAACTCTGGTAGATGAGAGGCTTTTTTTTTTTTTTTTTTTTTTTTGAAAGGCAGAGTTACAGTTACAGAGAGAGGCAGAGGCAGAGGTAGAGAGAGATCTTCCATCCAATGGTTCACTCCCCAAATGTCTGCAACAGCAAGAACCGGGCCGATCTGAAGCCAGGAGCCAGGAGCTTCTTCTGGGTCCCCATGGCAGGGCAGGGGCCCAAGCACTTGAACCATCTTCCGCTGCTTTCCCAGGTGCAATTTAGCAGTCGAAATATGAACTGGAACCCATATGGGATGTCAGCTCTCCAGGCAGCGGCTTTACCCACTACACCACAGCGGCCAGCTCCAAGAGAGGCCATCTTGAACAATCCAGGCTCACATACGCATTGAATGTAGCTGTCAAAGTAACTGCAGCTAAGCAAAGAAAAGCAGAAGCACTCACAGAACTCTAAGAAATAACTGTCAATGCTCTGAACTGCTAAGTTTTAAGTAGTTTGCTAGTCAGTAATAGGTAACTGAAACAAATCTGTTCAGAAAAATAACTTACTTTTAAAATTCATAAATTTCAATAATTCAATAGTACCTCAAAATGCTCCTTGATAATGTAGGCATTCGCAATTTTAACCTTGATACCTTCATAATCTCCAACATCACTAATGCAGATGGCATACCACTAAAAGTAGAAAAAAAAGAGTTATAAGAGCAGTTACTCTTAATGTTCCATTCAATACAAGAAAACAATGTCTATTCCTTAAAAGTCATTCTCATTCAATAAAAAGATATTGAGCATAAAGACTGTCAAAGTCTACACTACAAGGCAAAGTGGACATGGTCCTCCAGGATCTTAGAGACAGAACATATTTATAGAGAATAATACAAGATAAAAGGTGGCGAATCATCTAAATTACCAACAAAAGAAGAGGAAAATGGATCATTTTTATGATCTTAGTAAAAATACAGAAAAATTTTTACTTGAATGACCATAATTTTACCTTCCATTCTCTTCTATGGAAGCTGCCTCTCCTACATCTGCTTTGTTATAGTAAGAACAACCACATCACTGTATTGTGACCTTGTCTCCATAGCCACATTTGGATAACAGACCCAAATTTAGACAACCTGAGTTTATTCCCCAGGAACTAAACTAAACAGTATGCAAGCTTCATAAAGTCAGGTGCTGTGGAAAATCACTAGACTTAAGAAAGGAGAGAAAAGTTTATTGTGATAAAGACTTGCAGTTAACAGCAGAGAGACAATAAGGAAGCCTCAGCACAATCAACTCACATTTTTCCTTAGGGCCAAATGCATTCTGCTTTTGAGATCTATTAAATACAACAGCTGCTCAAAGCAAATGCCCCTTCTTTTATGTTTGTTTTTAGCAGAATTATAATAAACATAACAAAATGACCTTAACTAACACAACTTTTGTTTAAATCTATCCACTAAAATCTTTTGTATTCTGATATAATTGAAAAAAAGTATAGTTTCTCTCTCTCTCTCTCTCTCTCTCTCACACACACACACACCCTGATCTATAGACTATATGCTATATGCTCATTTAAATTCCATTGACAGCTTTCCAGTTGCCCGAATCAAGTTGACTTGAAGGGTCATACAGTGTTTCAAACTTGGTGTCTGATCTGCTTCAACGTATCAGAGCTCAGGATAAAATCATCCTTGTGCATTTAACTATCATATCCATGTGAAGCAAACTCAAGCTTGAAGATGAATCCTAAAAATTTTACCCTTGACAAGATTGTCATTTACTTTTCAGCACTCTTCATTAATGATCATATTAGCAAGAAATGATGTGATCACAGATTTTGTTTCCAAAATATTTGTAATTTTTTCAATTTCCAAAATGTTTAGTGAGCTTGCATTTTTAAAGATAGAAAGCTTTGCTTTAAATAGATACTCTAGTCAAGAAGGAGGAATATAGATACCAGACTTCTCCTGACTGAAATACTACAAAAGAAAAAAAGGTAGAAAATATGTAAGAAATAAAGATTTTCAAGATATTAGACCTAAGGCAACAGTGACACCTTGGAGACAAGAAATGAGTGAAGGTCTGGTGGTGTGGCACAGTGGGTTATAAGAGCTGGGCACTGGTTCTAGTCCTGGCTGCTCCCCTTCTGATCCAGCACTCTGATATGGCCTGGGAAAGCAGAAGATGCCCCAAGTCCTTGAGCCCCTGCACCCATGTGGGAGACCCAGAAGAAGCTCCTGGCTTAGGATTGGCTCAGCTCTGGCCGTTGTGGCCATTTGGAGAGTGAAACGGCCAATGGAAGACTTTCTCTCTCTCTCTCTCTCTCACCCTCTCCCTTTCCTTCTGCCTCTCTCTGTAAGTCTTTCAAATAAATCAGAATAAATCTTAAAAAAGAAGAAGAAGAATTTGGCTGTCACAATGACCCAGTGAGGGAGGGAGTGCTTTACCAAGGGCAGTCCAACGTGATTAAGAAATGTCCTAACCCTAGATGCTAACAACCTCCCCTAAACTCACCCTAGTCTATTGTAAATACTTGGTTTTTGTTTGTAGAGATTTGAAAGGAAGAGTTGCAGAGGGAGAGACAGAGACAGAGACAGAGACAGAGAGAGAGAGAGAGAGAGAAAGAGAGAGAAAGAGAGAGAAAGGGAGAGAGAGAGAGAGAGACTCTTCCATCTTCTGATTCACTCTCCAAATGGCCACAATAGCCAGGACTGGGTCAGGCTGATGCCAGGAATCTACAGAGTTGTATCTCTGAGTCTTCTACATTGATCCATCTTCCTCTATCTTCCCAGGCAGATTACAGGGAGGTGAGTTGGAAGTAGAGTAGCCAGACTCTTACCAGCTCTCACGTAGAACCCCAGCACCACAGGTAGTGGTTTATCTTGCTGTACACCAAGCCAGCCAGGAAAAACACTGTTTTAAACCCACTAGAAAATTCAGAAACTAGCTAAGTTACATGTGAAAAGTCATATACTAGGGCCAGTGTTATGGGTTAGCAAGTAAAGTCACTGCCTGCAATGCTGGCATCCCATATAAGTGTTGGTTCAAGTCCCGGCTGCTTCATTTCTTATCCAGCTCCACGCTTATGCACCTGGAAAAGCAGTGGAGGATGGCCCAAGTGCTTGGGCCCCTGCATCCATGTAGAAGACCCGGAAGAGGCTTCTGGCTCCTGGCTTTGGACTAACCCAGTTCTAGCTGTTGTGGCCATTTTGGGAGTGAACCAGTGTATGAAACATTTCTCTCTCTTTCTCTCTCCCTCTGTAACTCTACCTTTCAAATAAATAAATAAATCTTTAAACAAACAAAAAAAAGTCATATACTATTCAGTCTCAGTATTTACTATATACTGTTAGATTACTACTTCTACATAAAACAGAAATATGTGATAAAAATGAGAATTTTTGACAAGTGCTTGTAGTGCTAGAAATAAATAGGAAATTAATGAAATGATTATTTGTTTAAATTTATTTGTTTAAAATTAAGTATTAAGAAAAGTAACTTATCAAACATTAATGAGGGTAAGCTAAATGTTTAAGAATGCAAAAAACTACTTATTTTGAAAAATGTTATAAGAATAAATTTCTTCCCTTCCTAAAAATAGAACAATTTTCTTCCTTATGTACATTAGATTACACAGCAATGTACCCCTCCGTAGACAACAGCTTAGTTACTTTAAGCAACTCACCTTATGAGCTGCAAAACTTGATTCATTTTTCTCTAGTGCTTTTTTTGCATACTCTAGAGCTTCATACACCAACCGCTTTTTCTCCTCTTCTGAGGTTCCGCTAAGCTGAGCTATATCACGTGATGCCCGTGCCAAACGCCACAGTAACTCTGCATCTTCACTAATTTGAAATGAAAAAACAACTATTTCAGCTCATACTTAAAAATTATTAAAGCACACCACCTCACTAGTATATACATTATGAGCTCGCAGTTTAGTTATGAAATAACAAGCGACAAGATATCCAAAATCATTATTCATAATGCTAAATTTTTTATAGAACTTTTATTTGCAAAAATTTTTATAAAAATATTGTTATTCACAAACATTAACTTACCTATAGTATTTAAAATAAAAACACCATAGAAAATATGTAGTTGAATGAATGCTTGCCCCATTCAATTCAATATATAACATAAAGTTTGACCTCCTGGGGCCAGCACTGTGGTGCAGCAGATTAAGCCAAGACCTACAGTGCCGGCATCCCATACAGGCACTGGTTAGAATCCAGGCTGCTCCACTTCTGATCTAGCTGTCTGCTAATGTGCCTGGAAAAGCAGTGGAAGATGGTCCAAGTACTTGGTCCCCCTGCACCCATATGGGAGACCTGGAAGAGGCTCCTGGCTTCGGCCTGGCCTAGTGCCAGCCATTGAAGCCATTTGGGAAGTGAATGAGCAGATGGAAGATCTGTCTCTTCTTTTTTGTCTCTCCTTTTTTCTTTCAAATAAACAAATCAATCATAGGAAAAAAAAAATGTTTGCCCTCCCTAGCAATGTGCTTCATACAACTCACTAACTGGTTTATACAGTACCATTAAATACATAAACTTTATAACAAGGTCATATCCTAAACAAACAAAATTATCCAAACTACAGCATCTGGCACAGAATAGGTATATGACAAATATCTGTTAATGAATGGATGAACAAATATAATGCAATCTAATAGAAAATCCTATGTGTGAATGCCATGACATGATGCATGGTTTATTTCGAGTAAGAGCACTGGACTCCTGGAAGAACTGTTACTTCAATATAACTATAGAAAATAAGAAATGGTCAATAAATTAGTAACCACAATTAACAGAAATATTTTTTTAAAACTTTGCATTCAGTTTTATTAAATGTTTGTCTTTAAGCCTTTTTTTTTTACAAAAACAATAAAATTTTGAATCCAAAGGTAGTGATAACATATTTGTTATTCAATTTATCACTGAAATGACTATACAGTGTCAAACCAACCATCTCAATTTACTAAAGGGAAAAATGCAGAAGGCAAGACTATCTTTTAGATATCTATGAAGAGAAATTGATGGATCTTGAGGGAAAACTTGACTTCAGGAATCTAAGAAAGTTAGCTGAAAATGACCTGTTATTTTTAGTTTAAGAGATGAGCTGAATTAGTGATCTGGAAATGCCACTTAGCCTTATTTGACACATGCCAAGGGGCTGAGTTTCCCTCCACCCCTATCCTCCAAGAAAAGTGAGTAAATATTGATTATGCTACACTAAACATATAGTCTAATACTAAAAGTAGAAAAAGAAGGTATTTCTGGTTTCTCTGAAAGATTGGTCCTCTAAAGTGATGTACACTTAATGGTGACATACAATCATTCTAAATCCTAGTGAATTCATTTAAATCTTACACCAATAAGAAATTACTTTAAAAAGACAGATACATATACAATATAGATAGGGTAAACATATTCAACGACTTCTTCTATGAAACCAAGCAAAACTATGGGCCAGCACTGGCTCACTTGGCTAATCCTCTGCCTATGGCACCGGCACCCCAGGTTCTAGTCCCGGTTGGGGCACCTGGTACTAGTCCCAGTTGCTCCTTTTGCTCCTCTTCCAGTCCAGCTCTCTGCTGTGGCCTGGGAAGGCAGCGGAGGATGGCCCAAGTGCTTGGGTCCCTGCACCTGCATGGGAGACCGGGAGGCTTTGGATAGGCGCAGCGCTGTAGCAGCCATTAGGGGAGTGAACCAACGGAAGGAAGACCTTTCTGTCTCTCTCTCACTGTCTATAACTCTACCTGTCAAATAAAAAAGAATTAAAAAAAAAAAAAAAGAAACCAAGCAAAACTGAAAAATGGGAAAGAAGTTTCAACATTCCATTAGAATGAATAAGAACCACTTTTTACAAGCAGCAATTTTCAGTTGTTTAATGTAAAAAAGAAACTGTATACTATAACTTAAATGCTAAGAAACAGTATTTTGAAATAAAAAATAAAATAATCCATTACAAAAATTTCAGGGATTAAGGATGACTTTAATCATTAATAACACAAAAATTTTCAAGAAACTATAAAGCCATACCTATACCACTTTGCCTACCTTTCCTTGTATTGAGTTAACAACTGGTAAAGTTTCTCTGTTTCTCCACTTTCATACAGGTAGTCTGCTTGTTCAAGAACTTCTTCAACTTCAAAGATTATGAAAGAAAAAAGGCAATAAAATTGGTTTTCCCAAGTCAGGTGGCAATACTTCTAAGAAACATAAACACTTTTATAGATAAACAAATGAAATAAGATAGAAAAATCACCTGTAAAACCAATAATTCTGAGGAATCTAGATGAAAGTATAGTAAAAACAAATATAAAGCTATGGTAATAAATGATTTATTGAAAACTAAAAATTAGAAAACTTATTCTGATCCTGAGGAAATATGATAGATTTTTTAATGAAAAAAAAGTGTGTTTCTGTGAGAAATTTTGGTCTATATACCCACTAGGCAGACAAAATCTTTATTGTTGGTGCTGTTAAGTATCATCCATTATACAAATGACGATGTAACGTATCACTTGCAGCACTGAACGTGGAATGAAACATTGTTTTACTAGATTCCCATATGACCTAACGTATACACAGACATTGTTAAGGAAAAATGTGAACTGTCATCAAGAACTGAGAGAAAGTCAACAACACTGAAATCTCATTGGTATTACATTCCAATCAACTCACAACTAGTACATATGTGACTACAAAATACACAAGCCTTATTAGAAGTGTAATACCATAATAGGCCAGCACCACGGCTCAATAGGCTAATCCTCCCGCTGTGGTGCCGGCACACCGGGTTCTAGTCCCAGTCGGGGCACCGGATTCTGTCCCAGTTGCCCCTCTTCCAGGCCAGCTCTCTGCTATGGCCCGGGAGTGCAATGGAGGATGGCCCAAGTGCTTGGGCCCTGCAACCACATGGGAGACCAGGAGAAGCACCTGGCTCCTGGCTTTGGATCAGTGTGATGCACCGGCCACAGCGCGCCGGCCACAGTGGCCATTGGAGGGTGAACCAACAGCAAAAAGGAAGTCCTTTCTCTCTCTGTCTCTCTCTCTCACTGTCCACTCTGCCTGTCAAAAAAAAAAAAAATACCATAAAGAAAAGCCTTACTAACTGAAAAACAAGTTTCAATTTCAGAAAATCCCAATTACTATTTAGGAACACACAATTTTGTCATCTATATTTGACTACTTAATCCTACTTATAAGCCAACATTGCAATGTTTAGTTTCTTTATTACTTATCAGTTTAACAGCTTTTTACTTTTTTAATTTTTAAATAATTTTTTAAAAAGACATTTATTTGAAAGGCAGAGTTACAGAGAGAGAGGAAGAAGACAGAGAAAAATCTTCCATCCGCTGGTTTACTGCCCAAACGGCCGCAACAGTGAGAGCTGTGCCCCTCCAAAGCCAGGAGTCAGGAGCTTCAACCAGGTCTCCCACTTGGGTACTTGAGCCATCTTTCACTGCTTTCCCAGGCACATTAGCAGAGAGCTAGATCAGAAGTGGAGCAGCTGGGACTTAAATGTATCCATATAGGATGACAGCACTGCAGACAGCAACTTAACCCACAATGCCACACACAACACTGGCCCCAATTTTTAAATAATTTTTAAAAATATGTATTTATTTGAAAGGCGGAGTTACAGAGAGAGGAAGAGACAGAGAAACACAGAGATAGCGAGAGAACAAGTCATCTTTCATCTGTTGGATCAATCTCCAAATGGCCAGATTGGTAGGGACTGGACCAGGCTGAAGCCAGAAGCCTGGAATTCCACCTGGGTCTCCCACATGGGTGGCAGGGGCCCAAGCACTATGCCACCTTCAGCTGCTTTCCCAAGTGCATGACCATAGAGCTGGATTGCCAGTAGAATAGCTAGACTCAAAACAGCAGCCACATGGGATGCTGGTATCTCAGGCAGAGGCTTAATTCAATATGCCACAATGCTGGCCTGTTTTAAGGTTTTAAAAAATTAAAATCTAGGGATTGGTGCTGTGGCATAGCAGGTAAAGCCACCGCCTGCAGTGCCTGCATCCCATATGGGTGCTGGTTCGAGTCCCAGCTTCTCCGCTTCCAATCCATCTCTGTGCTATGCCCAGGGAAAGCAGTAAAAGATGGTCCAAGTCCTTGGGCCCCTGCATCTGCATGGGAGACCCCAAAGAAGCTCCTGGCTGCTGGCTTTGGATCGGCCCAGCTCCAGCTACTGCAGACATTTGGGGAGTGAACCAGCAGATGGAAGACCTCTCTTTCCCTGCCTCTACCTCTCAGTAACTCAGTAACTCTGCCTTCCAAATAAATAAGTAAATCTAAAAAAAAAAAAAAAAAAAAAAAAAAAAAAAAAAAAAAAATTTAATTCTAGGCCAGCAAAAAATTCTATGATATCTATGACATGATAATTTGTGTGAAATATTTTCTAATTTAAGATAATCACATAAACATATTAAAGGACAAAAATGACAGTAGCAAAAAAACTAAAATAAAGATTTTTTTTTTCCCTCAATAATCCTAACTTCAATCTGTTTAGGCACTGTGGAGTTTAATAATATTCAAAGGGTTGGTTAACTTTCTGAAGATTGCTTCCATGCAATTCTATGTTATAATTTTAAATGAAATGTTGTGTTTTGGCTGATTCTCCGAAGTCTTCATTTCAACAACCCAAAGATTCTTATAAAGAATAAGTAATAACTTTAGCATCATTAGCTGATATTTGTGATAGGTAGAATAATGGCCCCCAAAGATGTCCATAGGAAATTATCCTGGGTTATTCAAGACCCAATGTAAATGCAAATGTACTTAAAAGAGGAAGAGGAAGGAAGAAAAGTCAGACAAGAAGATACGACAATGGAAACAAGCTCAGAAGGATGAGACAGCTGGTTCTGAACACACAGTAAGGGAACAGTCAGCCAAGGAATGTGGAAAGCTCATCTAGAAGATGAGAAAATTAAGGGACAGGATTCTCCTGCAGGACCTTGGAAGGTCCCTATCAGTCCTATCAACACTTTGATTTTAGCCATTGAGACCCATTTTGGACTTCCGAACTACAGAACTGTTAACAAGTCTGTACTGCTTCAAGTCCTTAAGTATTTTACAGCATTGACAGAAAACTAACATAACAGTAATGAAATATGGTTATCTGGCTTATTTGAATGGGTATTCTAAGTATCAAAGCTAATTTTACTCAAATAATCTGACTCCCTATAACTGATTTTTTTTTTTTTTTTTTTTTTTGGACAGGCAGAGTGGACAGTGAGAGAGAGAGACAGAGAGAAAGGTCTTCCTTTGCCGTTGGTTCACCCTCCAATGGCCGACGTGACCGGCACGCTGCGGCCGGCGCACCGCGCTGATCCGATGGCAGGAGGCGGGTGCTTCTCCTGGTCTCCCATGGGGTGCAGGGCCCAAGCACTTGGGCCATCCTCCACTGCACTCCCGGGCCACAGCAGAGAGCTGGCCTGGAAGAGGGGCAACTGGGACAGAATCCAGCGCCCCGACTGGGACTAGAACCTGGTGTGCTGGTGCCGCAAGGCGGAGGATTAGCCTAGTGAGCCACGGCGCTGGCCCCTATAACTGATTATTGCTCGTAATGGGAATTCTACTTTTCATCACCCAAGCAATTAAAAGAAAACTGTAGAAATTTAGTGAATAAGCTTTGTCATGTATATTTTTTTACAACATCTCAAATTACTGAGCTCTAATATCTTTATTCTACAGTATAGTACTATATGGCATCCAGGCTGTGTGTACTTGTATGTGTATATAGATAGGTAATTTATTTGCCTGATTTTAAATTTTATAAATCATACAATGTATAATTTTTAAGAAAAATACTTACTAAAGTACTACAGACTCAGATTGGCACTAGGTGGGAACATGTAGACCACTCCACATATCTGTGGATCAGCTGACATTTTACTTAATGCTCTGTACTTTCCTGAAAATATTTTCAAAAAAAGCTGTTACTGACAAAAATGGACGCTGCAGCCGGCGCACCGCACTGATCCGAAGGCAGGAGCCAGGGGCTTCTCCTGGTCTCCCATGGGGTGCAGGGCCCAAGCACTTGGGCCATCCTCCACTGCACTCCCTGACCACAGCAGAGAGCTGGCCTGGAAGGGGGGCAACCGGGACAGAATCCAGCACCCTGACTGGGACTAGAACCCGGTGTGCCGGCGCCACTAGGTAGAGGGTTAGCCTAGTGAGCCACGGCGCCAGCCCGAAATGTCAATTAACCTACAACAGTACAGTGACATCTTAAATTTAGTCTCAAATGAATATGCACTAGATGATAATTCTTAATAGTTTTTTAAAGAAAGAAATGTCAATGATGTAATAACCTGCATATGTATTCATTTGGTTTCTAGTATTTCTTTTTTTTTTTTTTTTTAAGATTTATTTACTTATTTGAAAGAGTTACAGAGAGGCAGAGAGAGAAAGAGAGAGAGAGAGAGAGAATCTTCTACCTGTTGTTTGCTGTTTCACTCCCCAGATGGCTATTTCAGCCAGGGCTGGGCCAAGCTGAACCTAGGAGCCAGGAGCTTCTTCCAGGTCTCTCACATGGGTGGCAGGGGCCCAAACACTTGGGCCATCTCCCACTGCTTTCCCTCGTGCATCAGCACGGAGCTGGATCGGAAGCAGGGCAGCCGGGACACAAACTGACACACATGTATAGGATGCCAGTGTCGAAGGCAGTGGCTTTACCTGCTATGTCACAATGCTGGCCCCTAGTATTTCTTTTTTTAATTGTACTCTAGCTATGTGAGAGGTATCAGGACAAAAATAAAATACTCCTTAGATATTCCTCTAACAAGCACAATTCCTCATTTCTTAAGTTTTTTTAATATAAGATTTAAAAACTAGAAATATCTCAGTATCTAGATCCAAGGCTCTAAGTAGCAACATCATCAAAACATAAGGCAAATCTTTCACAATAGAATACTATTTTAGCAATAATAAAAGTGGCACCCTCAGAGATGCCCTTAAGTAATATAAATGAATATAAATGATGAAACACTGATGTCATTTTGCAGGTTTATCAATAGAGGAATTTTTAAAGAAGTATATGAAAAACAAGACAACTGAAGTGATTTATGATCCTTTTTTTCAAGTGGGCATATCCAATTAACTAATCTGTTAAGCATTACATAAGGGAACTTTCACACACAACACAAAAGTACTGTGAATGGATTAGAATATCTGTTTTTTTAAGGGGGGTTAATATTTGTCGATTTGAATGAAATAATAAAATAATTCCTACTGTTCCTTTAGTTACTGTTAACAAGTGTGCATCTGGTACCACCTTGTAGTCAATACAGGCATAGTACTAGCTAAACAATCCTATAATAACATTCAGTTGGAAAGTCAGTCACATATGTGCTTTTAAACTTTAATTAAATTTTTAAAAACTCCTATTTCAGAATACAATTTAGTCCCAGCAAATACAAGAGGAAAAAGCTTTTGAACTGGTTTCAATGAACATGAAGCAAACCTAAAGAGATATGAGGTAGAAGTTTTAATGAATGAAATCTGAAGACCAATTCATAAAACATACAACAAACAGAAGAGAGATATATAACAAAGCAAAATTTCTCAGAAGCAATAGTTATATTTTTGTAGAAATGTGTGCCATTTTCTAAATTAAAAAATTGTTTCTCTATTTTATCAATGTTTTTTCAAGTGCTATGGGCTGTAAGCTCACAAACTATATGGACTATCTCACTCACAATACGCCTCAAAAATGAAAAGCATAGCAGTTTTCAATTACGTGCATTATTAAAAGACAGATAGCAGTGTGAAAAAGAAATCAGAATGTAGGTAGTAATTTTTTGGCATTATTCTCAAAATCTTCTATCAAAACTTTAAAGACCACCTATTCAAAATCAAATCTCTACTTTTTCCCACAATCAACTTCTCCTTTATAATGGAAAAGGACTGTGAAAATCTATAAGGATTAACCCACAAATTAAAGTGGTATTTCAGGGGCTGGCACTGTGGTGCAGCGGGTAAAACCACCACCTGCAGTGTTGCATCCCATAGGGGTGCCGGTTCAAGTCCTGGCTGCTCCTCTTCCGATCCAGATATCTGCTAAGATCTGGGAAAGCAGTAGAAGATGGCCCAAGTCGTTGGGCCCCTGCAGCTGTGTGGGAGACCCGGAACAAGATCCTGGCTCCTGGCTCCAGATCGGCACAGCTCCAGCCATTGCAGCCATTTGGGGAGTTAACCAGCAGATGGAAGACCTGTCTGTCTGTCTTTCCCTCTCTCTGTAACTCTACCCCTCAAATAAATAAATAAATCTTTTTTTTTTTTTTTTTTTTTTTTTGGACAGGCAGAGTGGAGAGAGAGAGAGAGAGAGAGAGAGAGAGAGAGAGAAAGGTCTTCCTTTGCCGTTGGTTCACCCTCCAATGGCCACCGCGGCCGGCGCGCTGCAGCCGGCACACCGCGCTGATCCGATGGCAGGAACCAGGTACTTCTCCTGGTCTCCCATGGGGTGCAGGGCCCAAGTACTTGGGCCATCCTCCACTGCACTCCCGGGCCACAGCAGAGAGCTGGCCTGGAAGAGGGACAACCAGGACAGAATCCGGAGCCCCGACTGGGACTAGAACCCGGTGTGCTGGCGCCGCAAGGCGTAGGATTAGCCTAGTGAGCCGCAGTGCCGGCCCAAATAAATAAATCTTTAAATAAAAATAAATGGTACTTCTGTAATATACTGAAATTTTGATTCTGTCTATAAGGACAATTCTTTTTTTTTTTTTTTTTACAAATTGACATGTCTTAACATTATTTACCTATCTGTATTAGGCCAAATAAAAATCTGATGGAATTTTTTAAGTTTTCAACAATTGATAAGCTGAATTCTGTCTGTAAATAGAAAACTTCTATCTCAAAGTACTAGAGCTTTTTCTTCAATGTATTAAAGAGAAATAAAATCATTATTCTGTCATTACAAAGCAAACTTTTTCTATAAAAGCAAACTTTTTCTGTAAAGATCCATAAAGTAAATATTTTAGGCTTTGTGAACCACACATAGTCTCTGTGACAATTCTTTTTTTTTTTTTTAAACCTACAATCCCACAATCTTAACTCTTTAAAAAAAAATTAAAACATTCTTAGCTCATGAGTCCTACAAAATTTAAAGAAGCGATAGCTTATTTTATCATTGAAGCATTCGGTTTCCAGAAAGAACTATACTTATGTGCACATATATTTAGTGTGTGTATGTATACATATTTATATACCCACGTAGACTAGTAAGTAGAGTGAAAAATTAAAAAAAAACACAAATTTTAATTTCTATATCAATTAAAGATAACTGTAGGATCGCAACAAAATAATTTACAATGTAAGTATTCCAGGCCGGCGCCACGGCTCACTAGGCTAATCCTCCGCCTTGCGGCACCAGCACACTGGGTTCTAGTCCCGGTCAGGGCGCCGGATTCTGTCCCGGTTGCCCCTCTTCCAGGCCAGCTCTCTGCTGTGGCCTGGGAATGCAGTGGAGGATGGCCAAAGTGCTTGGGCCCTGCACCCCATGGGAGACCAGGAGAAGCACCTGGCTCCTGCAATCGGATCAGCGCAGTGCGCCAGCTGCAGCGTGCTGGCCACGTTGGCCATTGGAGGGTGAACCAACGGCAAAGGAAGACCTTTCTCTCTCTCTCTCTCTCTCTGTCCACTCTGCCTGTCCAAAAAATAAATAAATAAATAAATAAAATAAGTATTCCAGATGTTTAATTTAGGTTTACCTTTGGCTGCGGCATGAACCACAGCAGTCTGAGAAATGAGCTGGTAAGTTTCAAAACCCAAGTAAGACAAGGCTGAGAAGAAAAGGCCTCTTTTTAAAGGTCCTGGATGTGCCAACACCTATGGAAAAATATGATTAGAATAATCAAACTTACAAAATCTGCACAAACTGGTACTCCAAACAAAATTACATCAACTTTTCCCCCCACTCTCACAGCAGTCAATCATTAGAAAACTAGAAGCTCAAAAATGACTACTTCAGCAAATCCCTCCTTAAAATTATATACCTTTTTAAGAAAAAGAAAAAGAAAATTATATACCTTTTTAAGAAAAAGTAGGAGGAAGTAGTAACTCATCTAAAAATCAGCATCATGCTAATAAGTGCTGGATTGGAAGAACTACAATTTATTTGTGGAGGCATGAATATTGTAAACTGTATGCAATAGGAGCAGGCATTTGGCATAGCAGTTGGGTCACTGCCTGAGATCACTACATCCCATATCGGAGTGCCTGGTTTTGAGCCCCGGTTCTTGTTTCCAGTGCAGCTGCATGCTGGTGTGCATTCTGGGAGGCAGAAAATGATGGCTTAAGCATCTGGGTTCCTGCCACCCATCTGGCGACCCAGACTTCTGGCTTCATCATGGTACAGCCTGGCTGTTGTGGCCATTTGGGAAGACAGTCAGTAGACGGGAGATCCCTTGTCTTTCTCTGCTTATCAAACAATAATTGGATTTTTAAATGTACACAGCTTTAAGTGACGGTATCTTCAAAAGTCACCCATAAAACTTGTGGTTTCTAAGTAAATGATAAATAAAATAAAGAATATATCCAAACAGATTTGGAAGTTAACTTTCACAATTATGGCCAGATTTTTGAGATGGATGTCAAAGGAAGAAATGTGGGTACCATTTCAAAAACTCTTCCTTTTCTACACAATTTTTCTTTCTAACATAGCATCATTTTCCCCTTTCTGTTGATTCATTCCCATCAGCATAAAAACCAGCCATACTGTCTTTGTTGGAAAATAAGCTATATTGTATCAATTCTTTAAAAAAATAAAATAAAGCTTCCCCTTGACTCCACATCTCCTTCAATCTCACTTACCAACTTCTGTTTTTTGCAAAATTATTTTTAAAAATTTACTCTGCTGTCTCTACTTCTCTTCACATTCTCTCTTGAACTCATACAAATTATGCTTTTCTACCCACAACTCCACTGATGGTATTCTAGAAAACGCTATGAAGGATGTTCTATGGGTTTTCTATCTCATCCAAAATGCCTGGAACTAGACCTGTTTCAGATTTTTTACAATTTTGGAATTATCTACATAAATACCATGAGATAGCTTGATATACCCAAGTCTAAACACAAAATTCATTTATATTTCATCTTCACCTTAGGCTACCATATTTTTGTTGTGCCCAAGTTTTGCCTGTGGGTGCTCCAAAATTTTCAGATTTTCCACATGAAAGATGTTCCACCAGTATTTCCTATGGTCAATTCTGAATTCTCATGTTTCTTTTTTTTTTTCTTTTTTGACAGGCAGAGTGGACAGTGAGAGAGAGAGACAGAGAGAAAGGTCTTCCTTTGCAGTTGGTTCACCCTCCAATGGCTGCCGCGGCCGGCGCACTGCGCTGATCCGATGGCAGGAGCCAGGTGCTTAATCTGGTCTCCCATGGGGTGCAGGGCCCAGGCACCCGGGCCATCCTCCACTGCACTCCCGGGCCACAGCAGAGAGCTGGCCTGGAAGAGGGGCAACCGGGACAGAATCTGGTGCCCCGACCGGGACTAGAACCCGGTGTGCCGGTGCCGCAAGGCGGAGGATTAGCCTAGTGAGCTGCGGCGCTGGCATCTCATGTTTCTTTATCTATCCACACCATTCGAAAATTTATCACTTACTCTTAAAACAAAATGAATGGATGTTTAATTTTTAGAACCAGCTTGATATATAATTGACATATAATAAACTGAATATAAAGTGTGCAATTTGTTAAGATGTATGTATAAACCTATAAAACCGTCACCACCACAATCAAGATGATATTCATATCCATCAATCTCAGAAGTTTCCTCTCTATAATGCCTTTGTTCCAACACTTGCTGATTTGTTACTCTGTAAATACTCTTCACTTTGCTTTTGAAATACTACTATGTTGAGATTCCTCTGTCTCAATGACTGTTCCTCCCCCTCTATTGGTTCCTCATCTCTAATATCTCATTGCCCAGGAGTGTTCTGAGTTAGTACAGATCTTTTCTCTACAGGTATATTGTTTGGTAATTTCATTTCATCTTATGGCTTTAAATATCATCAACATGTCCCAAATACCCAATGTCTAGCCTACATGGCTCCTCTAAACTTCAAAAATTTTATGTCCAATTGTCTACTGTTGCTAAATGAAGTCTACTACCATCTCAAGTTTAACAGTCAAAACAGTTCTTTTCCCCAAACCCACTCCTCTCACAGTTTCTCTATCACCAGTAAATGGTGACTCTATTCTTTTAGTTGTTCAGGTTAAAACAAAACAAAACAAAAACCTTGGAAGTGCCAGCACTGTGGTATAGGAGGTAAAGCCACCGCCTGCAAGGCTGGCATTCCCAGTTCAGGTCCCAGCCACTCCACCTCCTATCCACCTCTCTGCTAATGGCCTAGGAAAAGCAGTGGGAAAAAGGTCCATGCATCCATGTAGGAAACTGGTTGAAGTTCCAGGCTTCAGCCTGCCTCGGCCCTGGACTTCGCAACCATCTGCAGAGTCAATCAGTGGATGGAAGATTTTTCTCTTTGTCTCTCTCTCCTTTACCCTCTCTGCCTCCTTCTCTATCTCTCTTCTTCTTCCCACCCCCACCCCCAAGCTCTGACTTTCAAATAAATAAATCTTAAAAAAAAAAAAAAAAAAAAACTACTTTGGAGTCATTCTCAACTCTTTCAATCACAAACTACAGATGTTCAATCACATTTGAACTTCTGATAAGGATCTAGGGTAGGAAAAGGGAATCCAGCTTATTTCAATTTGCTGAATGCTTTGTTTTCTTGAGCATAAATATTCAAGATACAGCAAACAACTGGATTAAAAACAAATCAGTAGCAAAGTGGTAAACTAATTTTGTCATAGTCACATTTTTAGCACTTACTTTTCAATGGAATATGGGCAGAGTATGTGTGTGCAGTAGTGATGCCTAGAGGGCAATATGAGGGGGCCGGCAGTGTGGCATAGCAGGTAAAGCCACCACCTGAAGTGCCGGCATCCCATATGGGCACTGGTTCAAGTCCCAGCTGCTCCACTTCCGATCCAGCTCTCTGCTATGGCCTGGGAAAGCAGTAGAAGATGGTTCAAATCCTTGGGCGCCTGCAAACGCATGGGAGACCCAGAAGAAGCTCCTGGCTCCTGGCTTTGGATTGGCGCAGCTCCAGCCACTGTGGCCAATTGGAGAGTGAACCAGTGGATGGAAGACCTCTCTTTCTCTCTCTGCCTCTCCTTCTCTCTCTCTCTAACTCTGACTTTCAAATAAATAAATAAATCTTTTTAAAAAAAGAGAGAAAATATGAGTTTATCAGTAAATATCTCATTTTTTATTATTTTGGCAGGGATATAAAATAGTAGAAAAGGTTATGTACACTACAATAGCTTTAGGAAATTTGATATAAAGAATGTTCAACTTTCTCTGCTAAAATAATGCTAACAAATAAAATCTTAGCTTTCCTACAGGGAAGAAAATGGTGCCTCTGGAAACTGATAGAGATGGAGATAAATATTTCTTATTATAAATTAATGGACTGACATGTTAATAGTTGGCTCTTGCCAGTTTGGTTAAGTGAAGCAGCTTTTTTCTTAGCTCTGAGAAAATAAGTAAAAATCATGTTTCGGGACTGAAAAACAAATTAAAAGAACCAGACTGCTTAGGGTGGATGTCGTGGTACAGCAGCTTGGGATGCCTGTATCTCCTGTCAGAATGCCAGCTGGAATCCAGCCTACACTACTTCCAATCCAGCTTTCTGCTAATGCATCCCAGAAGCAGATGATGGCTCAAGCCTTGAACCTCTGCCACGCATGTAGGAGACTCTCATATGAACTGCAAGGTGCTGGTGTTGCCCTGGCCCAGCCTTAGTTGTTGCAGGCATTTGGAGAATAAATCAGTTGATGGCAGATCTGTGTGTGTGTGTGTGTGAAAATTAATAAGCATTACAAAAAAGGATGCAGTGGCAATCTAAGATATTGATAACTTATGAGACTAAAACCATGAGAATATGCCATTTCACATTGTACCTACATCACCTTTCATATGAGTTCTCCAAAAATATTTGTTGAACAAAAGAAGCAAGCTCACTCTGAGATACACATTTCCTACAACGTGGATTGTACCAACCTTAGAGCCGAAATGAATTAAAATATACAAACTCATAATTAGATGGAAAGGATGTCACCATCCTCTACTGCTTTTCCTCTTAAAAATCCTGCCAGCTCCACTGGTGCCGGCATCCCACATGGGTGTGGATTAGAGTCCTGGCGGCTCCACTTCCAATCCAGCTCTGGGAAAGCAGAGAAGATGGCTCAAGTCCTTGGACCTCTGCTTCTACGTGCGCTTCAGATAGGCACAGCTCTGGCCATTGCAGCCATCTGGGGAGTGAACCATCAGAAGGAAGACCTCTTTATCTGCCTCTGACTCTCTGTAACTCTGCCTTTCAAATAAATTTTAAAAAATCTTGCCAGCTCCTCCTCCTGTTATAATTCTTCCATGATAAACTCTAGGTCTTCTTCTGGATTTATTAACTATTTTAATTTACCATGGCTTCAGTTACAACTATGTCAAAGGCCTCTGGGTCTGTAGCTCTTACCCAGGTCTCAGACTACTGCCTATTCCATGTCAACTTGACTGCCATACCACATTCCCCTTAACTGGTCCAAAATATAACTCATTTTCCCCACAATTCCCCAAATCTCTTGCGTTAGTCATATCCCTGTAAGGAGTACTACCATCTATGCTGTTACCCTAGTCAGAAACCTTAGAAACTTCCTTGACTCTTCCCTGTTCAGGCCCCCACATTGAAACTTTAGGTATGCATACACTTATTTCCATTTCCATGGCTACCACTAAGGGTTAAATTACCACATTACTCACCTATCCTAAAGTAGGGATCCCTAGCCTGGCTTCAAGCTTTCACTCTAGCCCAACCACTCTTGCCATAAAAAAGTGTTTAATGCAAATCTGACCAAATGACTTGCACTTAAAACATTTTAATGGTTTCCCATAACCTTTAGAAAAATATCAGAAATACATGCAGGGCTGGCACTGTGACATAGCAGATAAAGCCACTGCCTGCAGTGCCAGAATCCCATAAGGGCATCGGTTCAAGACCCGGCTGCTCCACTTCAATCCAGCTCTCTGCTATGGACTGGGAAAGCAGCAGAAGATGGCCCAAGACCTAGAGGAAGCTCCTGGCTCCTGGCTTTGATTGGCACACCTTCGGCCGTTGTGGCCATTAGGGGAGTCAACCAGCAAATGAAGACTTCTCTCTCTCTCTCTCTGCCTCTCCTCCTCTCTGTAACTCTTTCAAAGAAATAAATAAATCTTTAAAAAAAAATTTGTTAACGAATGAAAGAGGCCCAGGAAGAGTCTAAAGACAGAAATGCCACAAGTGACCCTACAAACCAACATCCCTGTATATTTCCTGAACATTGGGCAGATTACACAAGCAACTCAGAAATATTAAAACAGCAAAACCTAAAGCCGCTGGAATCTTCAAAAGCGCACCACAACCTTTTCTGAGAGCCTCAAGGGCTGTTATCTGGCACTGCTGAAAGTGAAAATTACTTCACAGTGGTGCGGGGGTCCTCCGCACACCTGTTCTTCACACCACAAGAGAGAAAGCTTCCCGCGGGAGCCCTACCCCACTCCTTTCCGGACCTAACCCCGGGTTTCGTGCAGACACTCGCGGAAGGGGGTGGGCCCGCCACGGTCACGGGGCGCGCGGCAGCGCACCTGGCCTGAGTTCTTGCTTCAATGCACGTGCCCACGGGTGGCGCGAGCCCGCCGCCTGCAGACAGCGCAGGGAGCGGGAGTCAGGTCAGCGGAGGTACCTCAGAGCCGCCGAATCGCCAGGGACTGCACTGCGCGCGGCTGCCCGAAGTCCTGGTCAGGAGCCGGGGGCCCACAGGGAGACAGCGCCACAGTCGCACGGCCAGCGCCATCGCCAACACCTGACGGGCTCCACCCTTCGCGCCTCCCCGGCGCTGCGGAACGGGGCGGCGCAAGAGGCGCCTCCGTCCTGCCCAAGAAACCCACGCCCGCCCGCTTCCTAGGCACCGCCGCTTCTGCCCCCTCGGCTTCCGGTGCACGGTGCAGGGGACGGGAAATACCCCATTGGGTGGGACTTGGAAGACGTTCCGCGCCTGCGCCCAAGGCTCTGGGCGCTCGGACGCTGTCTTCCGGGCGCTGCAAGTGAGCGCCCGCGCTCCGGCAATATTCTGGTTTTGGCTAGCAGAATTGAAAGCTCAGAAATAGACCTGAGGATAGATGTAGGAAAGAAAAGATTTGCTATTTGTAATTCTCGTCTGCCTTCAAATGTAGGGTGAAACCTGGCATTAGAGCAAGGTTTTTTGGAAATAAATACTTGGAAGAATTAAACTTCCTCAACGTAAGGAGGGGAAAGAAAGAGATTGAGACTGGAGGAGAGAGAAGCCTGAGAAGAGGCTTAGTGGGTCTTAGTGGGTCTTAGCAACACTAGTGGGAAATGACCTTTTAAGAAGTGGTTGACGGGGGCCGTGGGTTAAAGCCCTGGCCTGAAGTGCCGGCATCCCATATAGGCACTGGTTCTAGTCCCAGCTGCTCCTCTTCCGACCCAGCTCTCTGCTATAGCCTGGGAAAGCAGTGGAAGATGGCCCAAGTCCTGTTCCTGGCCTCAATTCAGCAGAGCTCCGGACATTGCAGCCATCTGGGGAATGAACCAGCGGATGGAGGGCCTCCCTCTCTGTCTCTACCGCTGTCTCTGCCTCTCTCTGTAATTCTGTCTTTCAAATAAATAAAATACACTTCTCGTCAGAGTGGGATTCTTTCACAGGGAATGAAAAGATTTTCAATCCCACTTCAGGACTGGCTACAAACGAGGTACCTATTATATGGATTACAACACAGGCTGTAAATGAAATATCTTCTGTATGGATTACATGAAAAAAAAATTCATGAGCAATCAGGGAAACTAGTTATAGTTTTTAAAAATTAAGTTGCAGGGGCCAGCACTGTGGCACAATGGGTTAAGCTACAGTCTACAGTTCCAGCATCCCAGATGGTGGCTTCTGATGCAGCTCCCTGCTGATGCACCTGGAAAAGCAGCGAATGATGGCCCAAGGGCTTGGACCCTTCCATCCGTGAGGGAGGCCAGGATGAAGCTCCTGTCTCCTGGCTTTGCCTGGCCCAGCCCTGACCGTTGTGGCCATTTGGGAAGTGAACCAGTGGGTGGAAGATCTCTTACTGTGTCTAGCTGAGTAATCCTGACTTTCAAATAAATACTAATTCTAATTAAATCTTTTTTAAAAAATTAAGTTGCATTTATATGATACTTTTAATACCACATAGTGAATTAATACACTCTTTTATTTTCCCATCTGCCTTGTGAAAAGATTATCCCAGGCTTACAAATCAGGACACTTCAGCTCAAAAAAAAAAAAAAAAAAATCGTTACTATAAGCACACAGCTAAGAGACATGAGTATTGTCAGAAAATTGGAATCTTTGTCTTCTGACTCCAAGCAGTGTTCCTTCTCTTACATTATTTTTGCCAACACCAGTTCCCACTAAATCAGCCATCATTTTTTAAAATTACATCCGTGTTATCTATTTCTATTTCTCCTCTGAACTCTAATCTTTTTCTCAGGAGTAATTACTTTTCTCTTATTTTTACATATTCCTACTGGTGACTGCCTCAGTATTGCTAAATAATATGTATTACCGGATGCCATGATAAAGCTGAAAGTTAATTTCTGATATTTTAGATAGAGTGACTTTTTAATTAAAAATTCACTTAAAAATTTAGATCCTTAGAAAAGTTGCAGGAACTCTCATGCACCTAGATTCAACCAATGTTAGTATTTTCTTACACTGACTTTATCCTTTCTGTATAGATATTCCATTTGATATACATACTATGTTCCTGTTATTGTTTTCTACTGTTGATTATTTTGAGTGTAGGTGACAGGTATCATAACTCTTCACTCTTAGAAAAAAAAATTTAGTTTCAATGTAATTATCAACTTCAGGAAATTGAAATTGATAAAATACTATTATTTAACATACAAATTTTACCAAGTTCCTAGTGCCCTCCTTCATACCAACCATGGTTTCCTTTTTCTGAAATCAAATTTGGATTATATGTTGTGATTTTACCTAGGGTGGTGGTCACTGCAAACCTCAATGAGGGAGACAACTGGATAAAGACCTAAGGAAGAAGCAGTGAGCCATGAGTTTCCCTCAGGCAGTACATTCCATTTAAAGGAAAATGAAAGTTCAGATGCTTACATCGCAAAGACAAATGGCATTCCTGTTAATGGTAAGTCACATAGATGGGGAAGAGTGAGAAAAGAGTAGGAAAGAAATGGGTGTTGGTGCCGGCCCCGTGGCTCACTAGGCTAATCCTCCACCTGCGGCGCCGGCACAGCGGGTTCTAGTCCCGGTCAGGAACCAACAGAAGGAAGACCTTTCTCTCTGTCTCTCTCTCTCACTGTCTAACTCTGCCTGTCAAAGAAAAGAAAAAAAAAGGCGGGGGGAAGAAATGGGGGACTAATTAGTGTAGGACCTCCTAGACAATTGTAAGAACTTTGGTGCCTGTTTGTGTGATTTTGACATTCTCTAATTTACATTATAATGAACCAATAGACTCACAAGGAGCAAGTAGAAAGCATGTGCTAGGGTGTTACAAAGTCTAGGAAGAAAGAGCAGTGGTTTGGGGTAGGCTGGGAGATATGAGTAGCCAGTACATGGACATTCTCTGAAGGAACAGCTGACAGGATTAGCTGACGCACCACAACAGGTGGGATGGGATGTGACAGCTGTCAAAGATGATTCCAGGAATTTCAGTCCAAACTAGAAAAGTGCTTTGTCTTTGTGTGAGACAAAGAATACTATGGAAGGAACAGCTTTGAGAAGGAGGTTGCTGTATTAGACAGATGTGGTAGCCAGACTCCAAAACAGCCTCTGATAGTCCTTACCTCCTGGATTTACCGTTTTATGGAATTCCTCCTATGCTAAATCAAGACTGGTCTGTTTATCCAGCAGAATACTACAAAAGTGATAGTGTGTGATATGCTAAATAATAAATCATTACAGCTTCCAATTTAGACTCTTGAATTATTTGTTTGGTAGCAGGAGGCTGCCAGTAGCCCTGTGAAGATGCTGAGGTATTGTGCTAACAAACAGCATGAGTCTTGTGAATGAGCCACCTTGAATGTAACTTCTTCAGCCCCCATCCAGCCTTGGATGACTGCAGCCCTGGTTAATATCTGACTGCAGTATCTTGAAAAATGATGAGCCAGAACCACCCAGTAAAGCCACTCCGAAATTCCTGAACCACAAAAGTTATGAGAGATAATAAATAATTTTCTGTTTTAAGCCACTAAATTTGATACAATCCATCAAAGAGCATATGATAGTTAATCCAACATCTAAGTATAAAGGAAGGCAGTTGGGATCTGGAGTTTCAGAGAAACCTTATAAAAACTGGGGCTTGCATTACGGCATAGTGGGTAAAGCCGCTGCCTGCAGTAGCAGCATCCCATATGGGCACCTGTTCGAGTCCTGGCTGCTCCACTTCCTATCCAACTCTCTGCTATGGCCTGGGAAAGCAGTAGAAGATGGCCCAAGTCTTTAGGCCCCTCCATCTGCCTGGGAGACCCAGAAGAAGCTCCTGGCTCCTGGCTCCTGACTTTGGATCTCCTCAGCTCTGGTGGTTGCAGCCATCTAGGGAATGAACCAGCAGATGGAAAAAACCTGTCTCTCTCTCTGCCTCTGCCTCTTTGTAGCTCTGCCTTTCAAATAAATAAATCTATTTTTTTTTTTTTAAAGAAAGTTTGGTAGCTTCAAGAACAGAGATGGAATTCAAAGCTGCAAAGCAGATGAGGTAATTAAGGATGTAAGTGAAAAAAAGAAAAGAACTTAAAAACTAACCTCTGGGGGGACATGAGGATCAAAAAAGCAAAAGATATAAGAAATAGCTTATGAAGCAGAGGGAACATCTAGGAGAGTGTTTATCAATATTTCATTCATTTCAACGTGTATTTAACTCTCCACCAGGTGTTGGGTCTCATGTTTGAGGCACCTGGTATGCATGGTACATAATATGTGTTTAATACCTGTTGAATTAATAGGTGACTATATAAGAACAAAGGTAGAATGGAATTTAGCCTTTAGTTGAAAGGAATTGATAGGTACATGGAATAGCTATGGCATTATGTATTCAAATGGTAAGCTGCCTTTTGGATACTAAAAATACAAAATCACCCCTTTTCTGTCTTTTTCCTATTTTAGTGGAGATAAAAGTTCTGAAGGTTAAGTTTAGATAATATGCATTCTGGAATTTTGAAACTTGCAATCAAATTAGTGGTGTCCAAGAACCTTCATTTAAATATAAAAATGGAATAAGAAGTACAACCAACAATTTTAGTAAAAGCAAAAATAAAACATTGCTCCTCCCACCTCCTCACTGTACTCCACTCCCCATTAAGCCTTTGTTTCTGCACTTGGAATTTGTGAAGTTAGTTCCTAGCTTTGCCCCTGCCATCATTCCTCTGTCCCCTGATCTTTGCATGACTAGCTCCTTAATTTTTATGATACAGATAAAATATTAGTACCTTAGGGAGGCCTTCCCTGACCCCTAATCTAAATAAGACCCCATCACCCCTAACTCCCTTCCTATCACCTCACCTGCCGTGTACTACTTTCCTCATGGACTTAGGACTGTCTGAAACCTCTTTTTTCTTTAATAATTTACTTACTATTTGTTCCCCTGCCCGGGGTAGAAAAACCACTGCCTGTCTTGCTCACTGATTTATCACAAGTCTGAATGAATCCTCAATTGCTGCAATATGATTGCTTTAAAAATGTCTAGTTTGCAGTTTTTGGATTAAGAGTAAAGTTTTTATTTAAGATGTCCTTTGCTTCATTTTCCACTTCTTATATAACACTAATATTTTATTTTTCTCATTTTCTATTGATTTTTTCTTATCAATTTAAATGAACTTGATATACTAATAACACATTTTATTTTTCTCATTTTCTATTGATTTTTTCTTATCAATTTAAATGAACTTGATATACTAATTGCTTGTCAGTTTTGTG